CAATATGACGAGTAAAAAACAATAAGGTAAGTGACGTACTTAATCCAATATTATAAGATTATAAATAAAGTTGGTCAACAGCCATTTTGCCATAGCCATTTTGCCATAGGTAGGCCAACAACTTTTCTAGTGTAATTTGTGTGGGCTGATTCCAAAAAAATCCATAATTTTGCTCAATTTCTTCACAAAATCTGCTGAGCATAATTTTTTTCATTTTATTATTTTAATTTTGCAAACACAATAAAACGGAATATATTCTTCTATAGAAGACGCTTTCAAAAGTGGCGAATGCGCCGGGATTAATTTTGTATGTACATATATTACTGTTTTATATATTTAAATTAATCAATTACATAAAGAACATTAAATTTTTTTAAACATAATAAATCTGATTTCATATTTACCAAGACATTTTAACCTTAAGATTATATAAATAGTTACTTAATCAATACTATTTTGTCACTATTAAAATGCCAGAATAAATGGTTTAAATGAATCGGTATACCTAGTTAAATTTTTAATTCAATATTGGATTTAAACATATACGAGGTGTGTTCAGAAAATAACGGGAATTGTTAAATTTCGCGGGTCCTGAGGGTCCGGTTGTCATAAAATTTTCTTTATTATGTTGGTATACATGCCCCCGAAGTATGATAAAAACTTTAGCTGTTTTCATTGGATCAAAGAATTTGTATCCAATTTTGCTTAAAAAATTAAATAAATTCTGTGAAATGTTAACAAAGCCCTATAGTGAGTCTGCTATAAGTAAAACAAGAGTTTACAAGTGGTATAAGAGTTTCCAAGATGGCCGTGAAGACGTTGAAGATGACAAACGCCCCGAACGCCCAAGCACATTAACAACCGATAAAAACATGGAAAAAGTGGAAGAAATGGTTAAAAACCATCAGACAAGTCGCTGATGATGTTGGTATATCGATTGGCTTATCCCATGAAATTTTTTCAAATGTTTTGGGTATAAAACGCGTGGTAGCAAAATTTGTTCCAAAATTGTTAAATTTTGAACAAAATTTTAAGCCAAAAACAATACTGTAATGATGCCCCAGCCTCCATATTTGCCAGACATGCCGATGTCAGACTTTTTCCTATTCCCAAAAATAAAGATAACCTTAAAGGGCCGTCGTTTTGCAAGCATAGATGCATCTCATGAGATTAAAAGCGCATCGCTGAAAGAACTAAAGGCTATCCCAAGGATCGAGTTTTAGAAGTGTTTCGAGTATTGGAAGAAGAGCTGGCACATGAGCATAATATCCAATGGGACTATTTTGAAGGCGACAACATTAATGTAGACGAATAAATAAATATTTTTTTCAAACAAAAATTCCCGATATTTTCTGAACACACCTCGTATATTTATATATTTGTTTGCGACTCACACCTGAAAAATATTTATTTATGGTGGTATTTTAACCGGATTTGTTTTAAAGTGTAGATCTTGATAAACTGTATTTTTGAAACAAAAGACGCCATATTAGTACAAAATACAAGGCCTACTATGTCAGTTTTTAAGAGTAAATTTTTAAGAATTCATATTAGCGATTTTTTTAAACAAAATCTAAGGTGGATTTACCACCCCTCAAAACGACCCTACACTAAATTTACAAAAATTTATTCTGTCAAGTTATCGAAAAAAGCATTGAAATAAAATTAAACTTATAGTAATAGTACCATGTTGCTATTAGTTTAATTTTATTTCAATGTTTTTTTCGTGGATAACTTGACAAAATAAATTTGTGTAGCGTTTATCCTCTTAAAAAAAATCGCTAATATGAATTCTTAAAAATTTACTCTTAAAAACTGACATAGTAGGCCTTGTAATTTGTAAAAATATGACGTTTTTGCTTCAAAAATGCAGTTTATCAAGATCTACACTTTAAAATAAATCCGGTTAAAATCGCATAATAAATAAAGATTTTACAGGGGTGAGTCGCAAACAAATGGGTCACACTGTATATATATTCTTACATATAAACTTTTTATAAAACTTAAGTATATAAATTTTATTTATTCAAAAGTTGTATATTTGGTTATTGTTTTAATAAGGAAGTTTTTCTTACTTTAATATGAAAAACCTAATTTAACAAACTAACAACAATCTATTTACGTTGGGTTTTTAATAGTGAAACTATTTTTTTTCAATTTAAAACACAAAATCTGGAAAAAAGGTGAACAATAAAGGTTGATTTATGGCAATTTTTTTGTAAATTTGGATATGAATAAAAACAACACTGTTTTAAAGTCTCACTGTAAAACTTTTAAACAGTATTGTTTTTATTCATATATTTTTGTATCTTTAAATTATGTTGGAGTTATGTAGCATTAAAAGGTATGCGTAAAATAATTCCTTAAAAAATACTTCTTTTAAACTTTTATATTTGATTTATGGTTTTATACATCCTCAAATTTCATATCCATCGAGATGCATAAAGTTAAACTATACAAGTTTTTAACTTTATCTTTAAAATTAAATGATAAATTGCTCAATATATTATTAAATCTGTAAAATGTTGCTTGTTACCCAGACAAATTTAACACACCATCGATATTCATCTACATAACTAGCTTTAAAAATATTACTGGGTTTTTGATAATAAAGTATGCCCTAAATATAAAAAACTTTAAAAAATATCGATCTTTCCTATACAATTTAAACGTAAGATGTATGTGTGGCAATTGAACATTTTTATCTTTATATATATACTTTAATGCATCTAAAACATTTGACTAGCGGGATGTGAGCAAATTGAAAATTTATTGTTCCATTGCGTCACATGCGCCCATTTAACAGATTCTGCGTAAAATATGGCTTTATAAATCTCGGAAAACGGACTACGAATTTAAATGACATACTCAGCCGTATGAAGGTAACACTACTGTTAAAATTTGTAGTTAATTTTTGGCAATTAATTAAGAGTGTCACTTTAGGTCTATATATAATGGAAGAGATTGGGGCAAGAATGGCGAACAAGACAAAATCCAATTATTAAGTTTTAATCAGGTTTTAGTTTTAAATTAAGGCAAATTAAATTAAATAATGGTCGTACGTTTAAAACGATTAAAAAATATCTAATACGTTATACAAATATTATTAGTTCCTTATTTAGAATCCACTTTTCGCAACCCACTATATTACTTAAAATATTAAATTAAATTATTAATTTTAAATAATTAATGAAATTATTAAATATATTAATATTAAGTTCAATTATTAAATACTACTACAATACCAAATGTTTATGCATGTAGAACAAGATTTCGAATTTTTGTTTTGTAAAATGAGTACAAGTAAATCACAGGTGATTGAAGATTTTAAATAAAAAATTTAGAAAGGAAATATGTAATTAAATGTTAATGTGTCTTAATTATCGATATATGTATACATATATATTGATATTTATATAAATACATATGTTCTTCTTTAGGTTTTCTCGGGCGTTATATGTATTAATGGTTTTCCGGGATTTGCTCCGTGTTGTCAGTTTTTGGTTCTTAAAAGAACCGTATGTCTGACGACGTTTCGGTACAATCTCATGTACCATCTTCAGGTCTTATCTGCTGAGCTGCTGTTAGACGTCTAACTCGCAGCAGAGCAGCAACAGCAGCCCAGCAGATAAGACCTGAAGATGGTACATGAGATTGTACCAAAACGTCGTCAGACATGCGGTTCTTTTAAGAACCAAAAACCGAAAACACGGAGCAGATCCCGGAAAACCATTAATACATATATTTATATATATATATATATATATATATCCCTAATATATATGTACACTTTATGCTTAATATTATAGTAATGTGTCTAGAAAAAAAGATATCCACAGCAATCTGTACCTACTCTCATAATGTCATACCAAATATTTTTAAATTAAGACCAATACATTAACTTGCTGTTGACCTTCTTTTTACTGAGGAGTAAATTATTAATTTAATATGAAAAATGGATATTAGTATAGTTATTTTATGAAAATTATGTTTTTTCCCATGACTCATAAATGCATGATTTCTTATATTTAAAAGCATACATGCAAAAGCAAACAAAAGTAATTAAAATGGCTAAAAATGCATTAGCCATAAGCGATTTTAATATGTATGGGTCATTCTATACCAATATCGGGTGAACCATAAAGGCAAACGGTTTTTAATTTGTCTTTACTTGAAAACGAGGATTGTGGGATAGAATAGCAGTTATCATTGAACAACAACACGACATTGTTTTAAAACATTGACTTTAGCTTTCGTAAAGGAACTATTTACTCACTTTTAGTAATGGGATATTTCAAAGCGTTCAAGACTTTTGACTTGACACTATCTGACTTTTTAATTTGGGGAAACCTAACGTCGAGTTAGCAAAATCAAAACATTTCAATAATAAAAAATTGAAATGCGCCAGCGAGTTTTATTTAATTTGTATTTGATATAGAATGATCCGTACAAATATCAGGGACTAAGTAAATTATTATTATTATTTATTTTAAATAGTTCTTTATACTCTCTATTTGTATTAGCCAAGAAGTTTACTACTCAGATAAATCGTCACCTGAGAATTATAGTGTTCTATCTACATTTTCTTTTTTTTATTCAGGTTAGTCTTGTTTTAAGTCTTAATGATGATATTGATCTATCTATATATAATTGGGGTAGAAATTGTAAAGTTTAAGGCTTAAACTATACAATTTCTACCCCAATTATATATAGATAGAACAATATGCATCTTTAATACTTAAAACAAGACTAACCTGAATAAAAAAAAGAAAATGCAGATAGAACACTATAATTCTCAGGTGACGAAATGTAAATATTAAAAAAAAAATTAAGTTTACATTTTTACATTTATAGATAAACGTTGTTATTTAAAATTTAAAATTAGTCCCTGAAATTTAAGGAAGGAAATTTACATATATGACACACATAATATGAAATAAAATTAATTTTTATTTTGAAATAAGCAATAATTAAAATAACTTTTCAATAGTTTTTCTTACCTTGTGAAAACTGCAGCTATAAGCCAAGCCAAAAGGCATATAAGAGAAGCTCTAGCTTTAGTGCATATGTATCCAGCTTTTAAGGGTTTGCAAATCGCATAATATCTCTCGAAACTGATCGCCAAAATGGTTAATACTGAAGCGTGCGCCACTGTCAACTCCACGAAAGGTACTGCTTTACCTAAAAACAAAAATAATTTATGGTATATTTAACTTTTTAAATAGATTATAAATTAATTTTGCATTTCTTACTTAAGTGCGTTACCGTTTTAATGTACAAATATTTATTAAAAATAAAAAGTATACAGGAAGTCCCAAAACTCTCGCCACAAAGAAAAAGGTAACGTGACGAAAGATATACGAAACACATACTTGAAAATTAAAATTATTTAACGCAAAGGAGATAAGAATAAAAACGACATGACCATAGGAAATTCTTTAAATTATACATTAAAGGATGCATTGTTGATATTATAATATGTAAAATATTTGGTCGACTGAAATCCACGAGCGAGCTTGCGAGCGAGTGCTTAAGTTAATGAGTGTATAGAAAAGTTTATAAACGAGGTGCATACTATACTTGTTCTACGACAAATACTTTTTATTATCTTAAAATGATTTAAATCATAAATTTGTATAGAGCGCCATCTATGAAAGAACATGGGAAACTATCAAATATCACATTTTTACATTTTATAAACACAATTATAAAGGTTATAAATCAAAATGTATCTTAAAAATTGATAGTTTGTCACAGTGAAAGTAAAGGAAATGTTTTATGAGGACTTTACAGTAGAGTCCGTGCCCGAATTTAAGTTATAGTTTACTGCCGGCGAAATTAAAAGGTCAGTACAATGTTCATATAAACTTTTCAAATATTGGCGTTGAAAAACTATTTAATACTTTTGTATTTTTGTATTGAGATAATAAAATAATTTTCACATTTAGTATTATTTTACAAGAAAGGCACTTTATTTTAACGATTGTATGACATTTGATAACTGTCAACTAACTTAAAACTAACTTCAGCCCGTGACTAAAGCGCCGTAAAGCCACAACTTGTCAATGTGTATTTAAAAGGTCACTTAGTGTCATGGAAACATGTACGATAAAGGGCGCCTTAAAGATGGGAGTAGAAAAAATACATTATTTAAATAATCCTAATTAGTCCAAGTTTTAATCTATGCAACCATAATTATAATAATATTAATAATAATAATAATAATAATAATTACATGTCCTGATTTATAACGCTAAGATCAAACCGCTGAAACTAAAGGGGTAAAATTTTGCGTTTCTATAATGACATGAATTACCGGAAGAAAGGATTTTTATAAAGTCCATCTCTAAGGAGGTAAATTCTGTTTTAATCCCGGCGCATCCGCCATTTTTAAAAGTATTTAACGGCTGGACGGAGTTAAATAAGTTTGGTATGAAGTTTTAACTTTTCAAATTTTTTCTAAACTTTTACTTTTTTACTGTTTTTGTATATTTATTTACTATTTTTAAATAGTAACGTAACTTAAATATGTAATTGTTTCGTTGTTTTTCCTTAAAATAACGCAGGTGAAGCTAGTTTCACGGTGGTATTAAATCCAGTCTATATTGACCGGATTAGCAACACGTTTTTTTTGACAGATTTCGAAAATATATATTAACATAAGCTCAAACACCCGTTTATAGCAAAATTGCCCAAACCGTTTCGTCGGAAATCGAAATTTAGAGCAAAAAAATACAAAAATGAATAAATTTACTTGCAAATCAATCAGGTTTACTACATTTTTAATCAGATCAGTTAATAAATGTTCCTGTACTTTTGGAGGCAATTCTGATTGAAATTACTCGACTAGATTTGCATAAGTGTGCGTTTTATACCAAAAATGTGCTAGTCCTTTTTGCAAAGATTGTCTACACCTTGCACATTGGCAAATTTTTTCTTGACACTGATATTTTTCTGTATAAAATGTCCCAGTGTTCGTACGAACATAAATTGCACTGACATTTTATTTTATATTGTTTCCTTGTATGTTTTGGTAAAGAAGGAAATGAGTATCTGAACAGCAAGCGGATCCTTTTTTTCGGTAAATATATATTTTGCAAGCACAGCATATGAGTCGTGGAAGACGGTTGTCTTCAGGATTAAAAGGAAAAATGTCCTGAACCGCGCTCTGAAGAGTTCCAGTAATTTTTCGCATATCCTCCTTCTTTTTGAAACATAACAATCAAACTCGCGATTTTCTTCATGGGTCCCAGCATGAGTTTTCACATACATCATTTTAACGTTCATTGTTATAAGGTACAGAATTTGACAATAAACTATTCAGCAGCGTATAAGCTCAATGTGTAGTTCAGCAACTATGTCCGTAAAGTGGACAGTTTGACAGATGACTTTTCGTTGTAGTACCACCTGACGGAAAAATAGTAAAATCTCTCCCGGAGGACTAGATTTTGATTGTTATAATGTCATTATAACTCTTAATAACCTTAATAAATGCTTTGCAAACAAAATTAATTATTTTCGTGATTTTTTGCCCTAAATTTCGATTTCCAACGAAACGGCTCGGGTAATTTTGCTATAAACGGGTGATTGAGTTTATTTTAATATATATTTTTGAAATATGTCATAAAAATTGTGGTGCTAATCCGGTCAATATAGACTGCTTTCAGGCCTACCGTGGTTTATGATTATCAACAGTGTAGTCATTACATTTCCATAGGAATTTTATTAGTAACAATAATTATTTATAATTGGTCCACCAATAAAACTAAAATTACAATAAGTAACTAAATATTTTGTTTAAAATAAATTTAAAAAGACTCGAAATATAAAAATTTAAAAAGGAATAATAGGTTTTTGTTAATTTAATAATCAGTCTTGCAACCTCTAGCGTCAATGCATGCAAGAATTCGACAATTAAGTTATTTATGTATTCCTTTCCTTTTAAACTGCTTCTATTAGATTATCTGAATTGTCAGGGTTATTTTGACCTTTTAACTTTATTTCACAAGTGCTTAATTGGATTAAGATCCGGTGAGCAAGAAGGCCACTTTAACAGTTACATCTTTCATTTCTAAACAATTTTTGGTAACTCTGCTGGTAAATGGAGGTGCAATATCGTGCATAAATAAAAAATCGCGGAAAGCAGCTTTCCAGAGCCTTACAACGGGTTGTAGCATGAAATCCACATACCTTGGACCTGTTAGAATTTGTCTTATGGGAATCGAAGAAATTTTTTCACCAATCATTACGCCATGGCGCGCCATCCCAAAACATTAGCCAGAGTCTAGCTTGTCTCCCACGACCTCTTAAATACGAATTTCCGGGCCATCTAAATGTAGGTCAATTCTAGTCTAATTGTCCAGTTTTGGTGCTCCAAACACCAAATCTATTTTGAATTGATAGATGTGGAACCCTTAACTGTGCTCGGCGAATTATTTTATTTATGGCGGATAATGCACCTCCACATATTAGCAGTTTCCAAAAATTGTTGAATAATGTGTGATTATTTTAGAGTGGCCTTTTTTTCCCAATAGGGAACTTGTGGGATAAGGTTAAAACAAGGATAAGAGTTTTTTAAAATAATCCTCGCATTGCATAGCAACTAATAAAACCAATTTTAGAGGATTGAAAAAATGTTAACCAAGAAGAAATAAATAACTATAGAAAGTATGTCAAGCATATCTCCATAGCTTCTTTTTTTAATGATTATTAAGTTTTTTTTGTTAACTCGTATTTTATTTATATTTTTTGTATGCATTAATTATAATTATTATTAATTATTAATAATTATAATTATTATTGTATCATTAAGTGTTATTCATTTAATTTGTCCTGTAATTGAAATTTTCTGTATTCTGTTGGACAATAAATTATTATTATTATTATGTCGTCTTGTCGAATTCATGCTTTCATTGACGCTAGAGATGGCAACACTGATTATTAAAGTAACAAAAACCTATTATTTCTTCTTAAGTCTAATTTACCGTATACTTTATTCTCAGAAAAATTCAAATTTTATTATTTGTTTGTTTGTGTCCTGTAACATTTGTTTTAATATTTTTTTATTTATTTTTGTAATAAAATTGGTTCGGATAAACTAATTTTAATTTTTAAATCACTTTTTTTTTAGTGAAATACTGTTTTTCGTAATTCCTCATTGATTCCCATACATAAGTTTGGTTGTGGGTATTGTCTATTTAGTTTTAAAGTCGTAAAATCTTGAACATAGCATCACAAGAATAAATAAATAAATTGTAAGTGCAATGTCTGACATACGTAGGCGAAATAAAGATTTCACATCACCAAAAGTAAAGCCCTTCTCAAACCGAAAGAAACACGTACCGTATGAAATCTAATGTTGTGTTCACACCGGAATCTTAATGCCATAATGGCGTAAATACAAGCTATAAATTGCATTAACTGATGAGAAAATCATGCAAATATACTTGTTTGTATTACATTGTCAAGATTGAAATACTTATTTGGTCTCCACACCTTTATTTTGGGTCGTTGTTGATGCCTAATTAAAGTTTATGGTTTAAATTCGATACTGCCATTTTAAAAAACAAAGTTTATATTTCCAATTCCAAGGTATATAAACATTTCATCTATTATCTAGATTTGGTGAGATGTGGTAGAAACTTTCTTTGCGGACAATATGATAAACCCAAAAAATTAAAATTGATTACTTTTTTTCACAAAAAGTTGACGTGAGATTTTTAATGATACCCCTTTCCTTAACATGAGATTTGGTAAGATTTTGCTAGACTCCTCCCCCCCTATTTTTATCTTACGTAATTAATGGATGTCCCCTTACAAGTTGTCATAATATTTTATTCATCTATATAATTTTCATATTTTTTTGTTTAATATTCAACATTTCCTGTCAAGCGGGCAACCATAAATACAAGTTTTGTTTAAATTTGGATATGTAACACTTTTAGGAGACCCAACTATTAAGACCATTTTTTTAAATTTCGAAGCCCAAGTTTCGGCTTAAGACCAAGCAATGCCTGGCACGAATTCTCCTTGTCCTAATAAATACATACCCAGTATATAGAAATTCGTAAATAAAAAATAAAAAATAATTTTTGTAGGAAATTGTATTCTCTTTCTTTTAATTAATATAAATTTGAGAATTTATCATTTTTTAGATACAAAAATACTATTTAAAAATTAACATGTTTTGTTCGTAAATTTTGGCATTTTAAGTTTTAACCCTATTAACTTTACAAAATCGGACAGGGTTTTTTTTAACGGGCGATACGATGTATGTTCGGTTTGAAAATGAAAGACTCATGCAAAAATATCTTTTTTAGGGAAAACATATTAATATTTTCATAATTGTATATTTTTGAAATGCTTAAGTTTGGTAAATTAAATTTAAATAAGTTTAGTTTTTAAACTGTACACCACAATTGAGGAGCATCCGTGCAAAACCGGCTATATACACTTTAATAAAATGTTGGGAAAATGGCAAAAACTCTCGGTTTCCTGGCCTTTACATATAAAAGAAAAAGCAAACTTGAGTTTTGTGGGCTTTGTGGTACTTGATTTATAAGACATACTTTCGTTTTCAAAAACTTTATATTAAGGCCAAAATTTCAAAAAATGTTTTGTATATAGCCGGTTTTGCTCGAAAACCGAATAAAAAAAGAATAAAATGTGAAAAAAACCTTTATTATTCAAAAATATTAACAAAATAAATTTAGTGCAAACATGAAAAAACAGAACAAATTTTAGTAGTAGTATCGAGACATCCAAGCCACATATTATTATTTATTGGATATAGCCGGGTTTGCTCCTAAAGCTACCTTTTAAATGTGATTTTAACATGGATATAGTCGGATTTAAACAGAATTATCTTGGTTGTCGATAGAAATGAACCCAAAGATGCGAAATCTAAAAAAAAAACAAAAACTGAATAAATCGGATTTAGCCGGTTTTGCACGGATGCTCCTCAATTATGGTATGGACACGCAGAGGTAACGAATTACAATTTGCTTTGCACATGATGGAATAGAACTTTCGATGTGTTTATTTTCTTAATGGTTTAGGTTACAGGGCCGGATTTAGCATGGGGCCACGGCCCCAGGGCCCCCACCATTTAGGGGCCCCCACCAATGCGTTATGTGGCTTTTTAATGACACAAATATGAAAAAAATTGTCGAAAAAACAAAATATTCGGTCGGTTATACCCCGCGAATCCTGTAATTTTCAATTAATTTTTCGTAGATCTAGCTCTAATTTTTCGCGGATTTTTTAAAAATACAAGCAAAACATAGATCAATTTCAATATAAGGTTATATTCGTATTATTCAAGATACATATATAAAATATAAAGTATATAAAAACACTTTCATTCGCAATTCTATTCTACTATCTAAGTTTTGATAGTTTTGCATACGAATTTATAATTTCTCAGACTTGGGTAAAATGTATATAAGGTTATGTTCGTATTAATCAAAATATACAGGGTGATTCAGACTTGTTGTGACAAAAGCTCAGGGGAAATTCCTCTTATCAAAATATGAAAAAAAGTTCCTATATATAAACCGAAAATGCTTCATTATCGAGATACAGGGTGTTTCGTTTAAAAAAATGAGTTTTATTTATAGCATATAAGTTATAAATAAAAAGCGTTTTTATAAAAACGCTTTGGCCGATTTTATTAAAATTTATATGGTTTATTAAAAAAATTACGTAAAGTTCCTCTAGCTTAAAAATTTACCATGAGTTTTAATTTCCCAAGTGTCAAAAATTTTAGAAATATTGAGGGCCCCCCCAAATGTCGGCCCCAGGGCCTCAAAACTCTAAATCCGGCCCTGTTTAGGTAATATAATGCAATTTTTTTATGTTGACTTGCCCCATGTGGTAATTTGATCTTCTGGATGAATAAAGATATTTTTATATCTTATTATAATAATTATTACACAGTACGACAAAATTTGATTTTTTCTTTCTTAAAAATCACTATAGATTTTGAAAATAGACTTAAAAAAATGATACCCGTGTCTCGGCGTTTTTTTTAATCAGATCCAATAAAATAAAATGCGCATACATATATGTTGTGTTCGATAACAGCTGGACTGAATAGTTTAAAAAAAAATATTTACTGAATAAATGGACAACCATTAAAGGGTGTTGCACATTTACGAACTATATCAAGTAATGTTTTTTATAAAAACTATATAACTATATAACTTTGATATATCAATATAGATTCAAAGCAATGTATAATCGTCAAATTAAAAGACCAAGATTTTTTCCAACATATATTATATTGATTATAAGTTAAATATAACAAATAAAAAAGGAAATAATTTTTTTTATTTAAAAAAAATTAAAATTGTTATTATTAAAAACAAACAATATTTCAAAAAAAATGATCAATAACAAAATAGAGAATTAAATATCTGTATATGTATAAATAATAAGAATGGCTAATTATTATTATTATTATTATTACAATTTTATAGCATATAAATACATTTACACTACAGCTATTTTAATAAATATTTTTAAAAATAGATTTATGCCTGGGTCCAGCTAAATGGCTGTTCAGTATTTTGATATACGAGTAAAAGAAAGACGAATGTATTGTGATTCAATGAATTTCCGACACTTACAAACTTTGTATGTTTTGTGTGACTATTTATTATTATTTATAAATAAAGTATGAACTTTTGTTTAGCTAGAACTGCAATCTTTATCAACATGGCAAAATGATGCAAAGATAACTTGAACAAAATGACAAGGGGAAGTTAATGCGAATAAGGGTTGCAGAGTTTTATAACTTTCTGAATAAATAAATTATATTTCCCGTGCTAAATGATTTTTAATGAACTTGTCGACTAAAAGTATGAATTTTCACAACTTGAAATGTAGATTTATTATTATTATTTATTCATTTAAACAAACAGAGTGCAATATATTTATTATGCATACGTTCTTAAAAAATCAAAGAAATATTCAAATCTTTCAAACCGCACAACGTTGAGTGAAATAAATTATTTGCACATTTTTGGGGTTTCCTATTTATCCGTCCCTTTTTGGGGCGAATCTTGTTTACAAGCTTCAGCTGCACTTCGGTCGCCAGAGTTCATCGGAATTTATATTGGTTTTCGGTGACAAAACTAATAAAGTTATTGCAATTCTCCATTATGACGTTTTCTCTTAGATATCATCTTACCTACTTATCTAAACTTAAACATAAAATGTAAAGTTCGAAGATTAAATTTTAGTTTTACTAGGAAACGACATTTATAGAATGTATATGCAAAACATATGAGTTACCTACGTTTAATTTTAATTATATTATTACCTTTTACAGTCCAATAAAATAGCTTTAAAAGGTTTGTTAATATACATAAGCTATGTGTGGGTTTATACCATTTGACTTTTTTATTAAATTTACTATTAATATGCCAAACTTAATGTTAATTTTACTATTACCTACTTTGTGGGTGTCTTTAAAATGGAAATACTACTTATAAAATAAAAAATTAAATTATTTATTGGTTAATAAGTATCAAATGGAAACTAATGAAATAAATGCGCTATAACGCAATAATTGATATTAATGCAGTATTAGGAAAATTAATTAATATTTAAAAACAATTATAATATAAATTCTCAAATTTAATTTTTCCCACAATATATGTATTTAAAGTTTAATTTTTAATTATATACATATTTTTAGGATAATTTTATATATTTTTGTCAAAAAATTAAAATGTATTAAATTAAATATAGCATTTTTTTACTGTATCATATTTCAGCTATACTTTCCAGAGGCTGAAACATTTAGGTAATATGACAATGGATAGACACTTTGGTAACAAGGTTAAGTAAAGTAAAAAGTAAAACTTTTATTTTAACTGGACGTGTTAAAAAGTCACCAGAAAAGCAACTAATGTACTGGTTATTAGGTAATTTATTACATTTTTTAACCAGAGTCTCAACATAATATTTTTTGATTTTGAAAAGTTTAATATTTTGTTAAAAATCAAGTTTTTTTATATACACTCCATTATTAAATGCTCCTCATTTTTAGTACTTGCATTTATGCAACATGTTACATCAAAGATTGATTATTGTACACAATTTAATTTAAGGCAATTTTAAAGCCATTTGCTGATCATGAAAGCCATTATTTAAATATTAGTTTTGAACCCCAGTGCATTTAGAAATTTATATTATGATAATATTAAAGCTAACTTAGATACTTATAATTTGAATTAAAATACTCTTCAAAAGTAAATTCCAGGATTTTACTGTCAAGATTTTTAAAGTAATAGAATAAATTTTAATGTAGAAAATTGTTTTTTTACTTTTTTATCTTTTAATTAGACAGATTGTATAAATTGTAATTTTGATGCCGTGAGATATTTTTCCTGCTTAGTTTATAAGACATATTAAATTATACAGGGTGGTTTAACCTAAAATGGATATTTATTTAAAAAAGTGTCAATCTCGGTGAGATCTACACCTTTATTATGTTGTAAATTTTTAGTAAAAACACCCTATATATATATAGGGAAGTTTTTAAATTTCACCACTTCTAAAAATAAAGGTTATATTCATTATATACTAATACAACTATTTGAGATACAACGTGTTAAAGTTATAATAATTTTTAGGATATTTTCTAAATAGATACCTTTTAACTTGTTATGCATTTATGAAGAATATTTATTTATATCATTAGGCTCAAATAAAAAAGTTAAATTTTCTTCATAGGAGCGAGAAAGCAGGTGTTGGTTTTGTTTAAACAAAAGCTGTATTTTTTCTGAAATAATCGGCTTAATAATAATATTAGCTAATTATAAATTATTTTAGTAATTTATTACTATCAGATATAGATTTCTGCAGAAAGTTAATTTAACTGTGTGTATGTGTTGCTGCTGGCTTTTTGTTTAATTTCAAATATCAGTCAAAATTTGTTATATAAAAATATAAACTTAATTACTGTAATAATTACAGTGTAATTTGCAACTAATGTTTTTTAAATGTATATGTGTATTAGGGTTAGTTAGCTTTTTTACTAGGGTATCATCTAAATTATTTGTTTACACTCTAAAAACCATTTTAGAAACAAACAAAAATTCCGATGTGGTTTAACCCCGCCCACTTTTTATTATAATGAAATAGGAAAAAAATTCATAAATCGCTAAAAAATATACATAAAACAATATACAGTCTTTTGCGTTTTTTTGTAAAACCATCCCTTTAAATGTTATACACCCTAATATACCCATATATCCATCATGATACAACAATGTAATTATGAACATGAAAAATTATGTCTGTTATTTCCCAAAATGATTTTTATATCGTAACGCCCCTAAATCATAAATTTATACCCTAAAACCAAGGTTTAGACAAACAAAATATCGATTTGTTTAAATGTAAAATGACCAGATTCAGTGGCGGCTGGTGGATTTTATGTATACCAATATCTCAGTTATTAGACATGGAACCCACACCAAATTTATAATAGTTTATAATGACATTCAATAAACAAGTTCGGCGCAAACAGAATTTAAATTGAAGTTTGCGAAAAAAAGTTAGTTTTTCCTGTCGCCTCACCCGCCTCCAGGCCCCCCTATTTGAGATAATTCAAATTAAAGTGGTGCAATTTATTATCTACTATAATTTATCGACAAATTTAAAATTTTATTTAAAAAATCCAAATATTACAGATTTTATTCGATTTTAAATTTTTATTATTTATTTTATTAAAATAAAAAAATAGTTAAAATGGTATAAGGGGGGCCTGGAGGCGGGTGTTTGCGCCGAACTTTTCTATTTAATGTCATTATAAAGTATTATAAATTTGGTGTCAGTCCCATGTCTAATAACTGAAATATTGGTATACCCAAAATCCATCAGCCGCCACTGACCAGATTCTGTCAAAAAACAGAGGGACATTTTGTATGAAGTTACCTTAATTACAAAATTGACAATGATACAATGCAAATTGTAAATTTGACGTTACTTAATTATTGTTGATTGTGTCATTTTTGTAATTAAGGTTAATTTACACAAAATGTCCAGCTGTTTTTTGACAGAATCTGGTCACTTTAATAAATGGCAAGCAAGTTTTTCCTTACTTGCATTAGTGCTACTGTTTCTTAATAAAAAATCATAAAAATTAACGTAATTCTTAGGCATTCGTTTAAACCATGCTCTACCTAACGTCGACGGACTAAGTACCAGGAACGGAACGACTATACCTTGACCTTCGACAGCTGTTGCTAATGCAACGAAACCAGTGGCTGTTTAACAAATGCCTAGAAATTACGTTAATCTTTATGATTTTTTTTATTTAAGATAAAAAAATAGTTAAAATGGTATAAGGGGGGCCTGGAGGCGGGTGTTTGCGCCGAACTTTTCTATTTAATGTCATTATAAAGTATTATAAATTTGGTGTCAGTCCCATGTCTAATAACTGAAATATTGGTATACCCAAAATCCATCAGCCGCCACTGACCAGATTCTGTCAAAAAACAGAGGGACATTTTGTATGAAGTTACCTTAATTACAAAATTGACAATGATACAATGCAAATTGTAAATTTGACGTTACTTAATTATTGTTGATTGTGTCATTTTTGTAATTAAGGTTAATTTACACAAAATGTCCAGCTGTTTTTTGACAGAATCTGGTCACTTTAATAAATGGTGCCACTTTACTTTTCCCATTCATTTAACATTGGATTTTTTAATTTTTTGGAAACAATTTCTAGGTTATTTTATTAGCTAAATTATTGTTGATTTTCCTTGTCAAATAATGTATTTGTGTTGACATATTGGTGAAAAAAAAGTATAACAATAAAATGTATACAACAATTTAATTTTAAACTAATCGCAAATACCTAGCAAACTGCTTAAAGTTCTACCTACTCTATCTCTCCAAAAACATTTTTTTACCAACATTAAAATTTATCCAACAATTAAAATAATGGCTTTACAAGAAAACTTTTTTGCAGAGGGTAAAATTTCCTTTTAAAGTGTTTTCTGTATATTGTTTTATGTAGGTATATTTATTAGCAAGTTATGGTTAAACGACATCGAATTCTTTTTTCCAAAATAGTTTCTAGACTGTAAACATATATGTTTATATATAATTAAGATTATGTGTATACACATTTATAAATGATTACTTAAAATGAGAAATATAATGGAATTAAAGAATGGCTAAATTTTTAATATATTATAATTTTTATCATTATAATTTTTTTCCCTCTCGATGTCTTCGGCATCATTGCATTTATTTTTCAAAACATTTGCCTAAATGCATAAAAGGGTGTTATTCGTACCTGTAGAATATGTAAAAGATCATTGCCTTTTAAAAACATGTCTAGTATTCCTAAAACTATAATATAATTATTATAATTATAATATAATTAATTAATCTTTTACAGGAAAAAAATAATAAAATTTCCACCAACTTCAACAAAATTTCTTTGTTCTTTTCAGAGGCTTTAAGCCGTAATTTCCGTTTTTCATACCTCTTCTAATGCAAATTTACTTATACCAGAACTCTTTGCAAACTGCGAACATAACCCAATTGTGTATGTTTTATATTGCTGCAATACCCTTCAAACCAAGTTTTTGTCAATAAGGTTTAGTCAGTTATAAACAAAGACCGGATTTTATACCCTTAAAAATTGGAAATTAGGACGCATAAATAGGCAATAAAACCTACATTTTAGGCCGTTTTAGGCCGAAAGTGCCTGCAATAGGCCTCAACCGCCTAAAATAGGCGATATACCAGTACTCTTTGCAAACTGCGAACATAACCCAATTGTGTATGTTTTATATTGCTGCAATACCCTTCAAACCAAGTTTTTGTCAATAAGGTTTAGTCAGTTATAAACAAAGACCGGATTTTATTCTCTTAAAAATTGGAAATTAGGACGCATAAATAGGCAATAAAGCCTACATTTTAGGCCGTTTTAGGCCGAAAGTGCCTAAAATAGGCCTCAAACGCCTAAAATAGGCGATATACCAAAACTCTTTGCAAACTGGGAACATAACCCAATTGTGTATGTTTTATATTGCTGCAATACCCTTCATACCAAGTTTTTGTCAATAAGGTT